TGAGTCATTGCACAGATCTAAAATCAATCCCTGAATAATACCAATGTAAAGAGGGGAAAAAAAGGAAAGCGTGATATAACAGTTTGCCAGGATTGTCTGCTTGTTTATTCACCCAATAAAACATCATCCTATGCATTTTCACTGGATTATACATAGATCTAAACTGCATCATGACAAATTGCTTCAAAGTAAGGGAGTCCTTAAGAAACACTGAGTGATGTTCTTAAAAGAAAGAGCAGAGCTTCAGTTTGGTATCTATTTTAAAATAAAGTGGATGATCACATATCTTAGATGATTTATATGAATTGAGGCAGAAAAATTTAATGTCCTTTCTTGAACAGTTATGAAGTTAAACACTTTGATAGACACCCCATCCCTCCATACACTCCAAGGAGAGCAGCCTGAAGTTTAGATGGCACCATGCTTTGGTTTGACTGAAAACATGTGTTAGTTATAGAGAATCTGTAATAAATTCTGCCAGTCCAGATACTCTAAATCCTTTAAACATGTATTTTTCAATAAGTCTCTCAGCTGTAGGTATTCCTATGTCTAAATACATGTGGAAATGATAAAACACATTTCTCTTCCAAAATTTAAAGAAGCTTTCTAAATTAAATCATCTTATATATGTTTACAATGAAAGACGTGACAGCTCCACTGTTCTCCTGTGGCAGTGAGAGGCTCTTGTGACTGACTTACACCCCTTTCAGTGAAGGTCTTCGTGTACTTAGCATATGTCTGAAATTACATTCTGTAATCCCAAGTACAAAATCTTTCAAGCAAAATGATTATACTTATTGAGATTATAAATCTATTCTATCTATGGTGCCTTTTCAAAAATTATAGCAATTTATGTTAACAGTTTTATTTAATCTGATAATACAGTGCTATCCAAAATAGAGAGAGCACCTGCATTTTATTTTCCTACAAAGATTCTTATATGAGCATAAAATCTTCAAGTAGATGCCCTTGAGAAATAGGTACTTGGAAAGTCATATTTTTTTTGTCCAATTTACAAACAAAACTGAAGAAAGTTGGTAGATGGGATTATTTCAAGAATCTTCATCATGTTAATTTTTTAAAGTTTCCTCAATGTACCATGTTGTAGACCTACTTGTTAGAAATCAGATAATATATATTTAAGGTGTTTTAAATGACCTGCTACAAATTATTAACTCAGATCTTAAGTATTACTTTTTTTTCTTCTAACAAGAAGAAATTTAATGATGCCAAGTTAATAATACATACCACAACTTTGACAGAGTTTTAATTGATTCATTCCAGTTCGTTGTGACCTAAACTCTTCAGAATTTGTTGTAGCAATTCTTCTAGAAGTAGAAAACAAGCTAAAGGTACTGACTATGAAATTACATATATGAGCATATTTTTTAAATGGGAATAAAACTGTCTTTCAATGAAGCAGAATAATTTGATAGTGACACTCCATCCTCGGAAACTGCACGATGCAATTTTACACTGCTTTGAGTACAAGTATCTTTTGAGCTGTCATGCAGAAATGGTTTCTCTACTTGAAAATGGGGTTTTCCTTTCATCATTCAGGAATGTGCGCCTGTCACTCTCCATTGCCATCGATACGGGGAACCGTGATTGTCCTCGGAGCTGGAGATACTGCCTTTGACTGTGCTACATCTGCCTTACGTTGTGGAGCCCGCCGTGTGTTCGTTGTCTTCAGAAAAGGCTTTGTTAATATAAGAGCTGTCCCTGAGGAGGTAAAGTGGAACCATCAGAAAATATTGAGCTGTAGTTCAATAGATTTCAGGCGATTAAACTGTTAATGTTCAGTCCCCTAATTTAAATCTTTTGAATGTTATTTAAATTGTCAAATACAAATTTAAAAAATTTTGTGCTACACATAATTGTTTTTTTTTTTAAATTCAGACATTTCAGTCAAAAGAAAATTCCTAATAATGATTTGGAAAAAAATGAGAAATTTATCTCTGTCAATCATGGGTGATTCTTGTTGTCAGTGTTATTATCTTTGAAATTTTTCTGTTTAGCTAGTGATGGTGGAGTGTACTACATCTTCACAAACTGTGTGACTATTAGAAGAATTTTGGTATGGGCCTTGTGTTGCCTTCAGATAAGCCGTTGGTAGAGGTGGCCTGCATCCTATATCACAGTGCCAGTTAAAGTCCTGGCTGTTCCACTTCCAATCTAGCTCCCTGCTAATGTGCCTGGGAAGCATCAGATAATGACACGAGTACTTGAGGTTCTGCCAGCCATGTAGGAGAATTGGATGCAGTTCCTTGCTCACGGCTTCAGCTTGGCCCAGCTTGGCTGTTGTAGCCACTTTGGGGAGTGAACCAGTGGATGGATGTTATTTTTCTCTCTCCGACTCTCTGTTTTTCAAATAAATAAGTAAACCTCAAAAAGGAAGCTGTGGTTATTAGAGATAGTTAAGATTTTCCAAAAGTGAAGTTCCCAAACTACATTTAAAGATATATATTCCTTGGTCATACTTTCAGTCAATTCAGTCTTCTGTGAGACAGACTTTTCTCCAAAGTCCAAAGTGGTCCTGTAACTGGAGGAGTTTCTTCTGTCTTAGGAATAAGTTTACACAATCATGTCATTTTACAAACCAGAAGAAATAGCCACAGTGGAATTCAGTGACTGGTTGAAGATAAAGGGGAGAAGAACTAGTTTCATTCATCTTTCTATCCCTATCAATGTAGCAGGACCTGGGAAGTAGTAAGTACTTGGAAGATATGTTTTGAACTGACTATTTTAAATCTTTTTCTACAGATTTCAATATCAGACACATTTTCAGTACAAAAGTCTTCTCCAACAAAAGGGTTGGATATGGAAGCTAACCCTGAAGGTCAATATTAGCTTACTTCACATTCTGTATCAGAGTCATCTTCATTAGTGTTGGGAACTAGGAATGAATGGTGACTATTTCTTCTTAGGTAGAACACAAAAAACTGAGACCAGATAATTACTTAAAGAATAGAGACAAGAATAAATGTAGTACTTATTCAACTTAATTTATTGAAGACCTATTATGTACATTGTATTGTTCTTGGAAATTTGAATCCAGAAGGAAACATATCAAATAGAATTTCATGCCTTCATGGAGTTTGTATCTAGTGAGGGAAGAGACCCATAAACCAAACAAATGAATTGTATGTAAATAGTATGTTGAATGGTTATTAGTTAATGGAGAAAAATAAATATAGGAATATAAGGAGTGCATGGGAAGCTAATTACGATTTAGCTGGTGGTCTTTGTGACTGGATTATAGCAAGAAAAATACCAGAAAATGTGCAAAGCTCAAAAGTCCAAATGTCAGTGGCAGAATCAACAAGTTATTGATAGAAATCAGTGGATCCTTGGGATGGTAGGTCATGTGCTTACAAAAGGCCTTAGTAGAAGTCAGGTGTGTATGGGGTGCAGAGTGGGGAATGTTGTTGTGCAGTAAAATAAGCTGTTGCTTGGGAAATACAAATCCTGTATCAGAGTGCCTCAGATGGAGTCCTATCTCTGCTCCTTATCCACCTTCCTGCTAATGTGCCTAGGAGGCAGCAGATGATGGTCAAAGTACTTAAGTTCTTGCCTCCAGAGTGGAGACTTACATGGATTTCCTGACTCCCGGCTTTGATCTGGCCCAGCTCTGTTGTTGTGGGTGTTTGGAGAGTGAATCAGTGGAGGGAAGATTCTCCCTCTTTCTCTCCCTCTCCCTCCCCACAACCTCCTCCTGTGTGTGTGTGTGTGTGTGTGTGTGTGTGTGTGTGTGTCTACCTTCCTTTTAAATAAATAAATAGAAAGGAAACCGAGGTGGATCTAGGGCTTAATTAAGGCTACAAGAACTAGTGTTTGGATGTTTCTTTATTATTTGTTCATAAGAAACCAGATTTTGTATATGATTTTAAGACCATCTGAGCCCAAGTTCTATAATGAGGGTCACATATAAAATGTTTGTGAAATAATTTTGGAATAAATGTTTTCAGGAAGGAATGAGCATCCAGAGTTTTTAGTATTCACCTTCCAAATTAGAAAAGTATTATAGCATTAGGACTTGTAAGATTCTTCTGGTAGTTTTAGTCAAAATTTATAAACATGAGAGGAGTAATAAAGAATACATTATTGCAGTGTACAAAACTTTCAAGTTTGGTTCACTGGCAAGTGCTTATAATTTTTTTAGAATTGAGGACTTCCAGTGTTTGTAGATGTTCAGTATTATTAATCCATCATGGCCATTAGTTGGTTTTGTAGACATCAAAAGAAGGCCCAACATATTGCAGAGCTAATACTCATGAAATTGGAAAGCTATGATTGTGGAGGTTCAATATTTGTTTTGAGAGATTATATTCTATCACATATTTTTAGTCATATGAAAAATTTAATTATACCCAATTCTTTTATATTTCTATGAGTTCTCCAGTGCTTTTGACCTGTAATGCACATATACTTTAACCACATTTAGTTTATTAAAGTCAATGAAGATTGAGGAACAGAAGCATTTTAGTTTTTCTCAAATATGTGCATGAGAATTGTTTAAGGGTCTTGAGCTCGGGTGGATTTGGGGAATGATATTATTTGTCTGTAAGTAAAATGCCACATCATTAGGCATGCCAGCATGAATGACAACTAATCCTGCATACTTTTCTTTGAGGGAGGGACATATAAAACATCTCTTCCTTTAGTGAGAGATACAGAATACCAGAGAAGGCAGTTGCATTTAACAGTGAAATTGGGACCATGTACATTACATGATTAGTAAGCTAGAATAATGTATTTTAATCTAAAAATCTAGGAGGCACCACCCAATAGATTTCTCAGTGACAAACACAATTCTCTAATGTAGAGATTGTTGAAGTTCAGTGTGCATTAAAATCGCCTGCAGGGCTTGTTAAACACAGATTGCTGGACGCTATCCTCGGGGTTTGATTCAGTAGGTCTGGGTGGCCCTGAGAATTTGCATTTTTAACAAGTTCCCTGGTGATGCTGAGGCTGCTGGTCCACTGCTCTACTGCATCATCAACGTAGATTCCAGCTGCCTAATTAGAGCTATAAGCAGTGTGCTGTTTGGAAGCATTTCCATCTTAGTTAAGAAAGCATTAATGCTAAAGGATATAGGTTTGATGAGATGAAGGCATCATCAGCATATTGATGTAGTTCAGATTTCAGATGTCTTTCGGGCTCCCTTGTGGCCTCACACACATGCTAAATAGGATGCTGCTGACAAACTAGTGCTTCTCCGCCATGGGTCCTTAGGGAAACCAGCCAATCACTCGGCACGATCCTCTAAGAAGATGAGGGGAAATCTGTTAATAATTCCCTCCAGTACTTCCTGCAAGCTTAAATAGGTGAGATTAAATTTCACAGGATAACAGAATCCCCCAAAATGCTGGTATTAAAAGCTGTTGACAGATCAGATAGAACTGCAAGAATGCTTTAGGCAGTTGGGAATCCCTAAAAGGAGGCATGAAGGTCAAGACTCCACAGACCTGCTTGAGTTGATAAATTTAAAGGATAAGGTTGAAGAAGGGCTTTGTAGTTCTTATTAATTATTACTGAGAAGAGAATGGTACAGAATTGTTTTTAATAGCGCAATTCCACATACAAAGAATATTTCAAGACTCTTGCTCACATATTCAATTTCCCCATAGCAGCTAAAACATGATGGATTTTTAATATATCTGAGTGTCTAAGGGATCTCTATGCCCCTTAGCTTCCTTTCTCCACTTTGTTTATCAAGATAGTTACTGATTTAACTTTGCTATGCCTGTTTACACACATTTCAGTTACTTGTAGGGCTGATTTAAGAATTAATTCTATTTTATTATCTCAATTATAAAAATATCAAAACCAGATTGCCAGTCTATTAGCCAAAATTTTCTTTATGTGTTATTGCAACTCTGAAATAATACATTCTTATGTGAAAGAATGTGCCTTTTAATTGAATCCTTCTGGTACTCTTCAGCATACCCACAATAAATCATTCATGTGACATGATCAATAGGTTTCTTTTCAGACATTTAAAAACCTTTTTTAAATGATTTTTCTTATTGATTGGTTCATATTATTTGAAAGGCACACACACACACACAGAGAGAGAGAGAGAGAGAGAGAGAGAGAGAGAGAGAGAGAGAAACAGAGATCTTCCATTTGCTGGTTTACTCCCCCCAAACCCACGATACTTGGGCTAGGCCAAGTCACTCTCAAAATCTGAGTTTTCCATGTGGTTGGCAGGAACCCATCTACTTCAACCATTACTGCTGCCTCACAGGGTGCACATTAATGGGAAATAGAGACTGGACTCTGATCCAGTTTCTGTGAATGGGATGTTGTATCCAAAGTGGTGTCTTAGTTACTGTGGCAACAATGATCATGGTAAAGCTACATCCATAGTTAGCATTAGCCTGTATATATTTTGCTAACTAAACATGCATTTTTCTACAAGTAACTCATGCTTTCTAGTTTTTATTTAATTAAATGACATTGTAAGCTGACAAGTTTAATTTTGCTTAGTAAAAGTAATGCTTACAGCAACTCTTCAACATTTGGCTCCTGCATATCATTTGAGCTGGTGTACCTTGTATAAATTAATCAGAGACATGTTAGCTGTTTTAAGGTGGCTGAAAACAAACAAAGAAATGTGCAAATTGTACAAATTGCCCCCAGACACAAAGTTGCTTAGTGGTTGTTGGGAACTCCCTTCATAATAAGATGTAAAAAACACCTTTAATACTTTATGACAACAGGAGAGTTACATGCCAAGGGTTATGAACATTTTTGCCTTATTTGTAAAATTTCAATGAAGTATGAAATGCAGAAGAGAAGTGTAGTGAAAAATGAAGTAGCTATAATTGTAACAGTTGGTCCTGGTTATATGAATATATTCTAGTTTGTGTATGCCCATATATGAAATTAGCATGGAAATTCTATGCGGGTGGGAGGGATGTTATGGGGGGGGGGAAGCCATTGTAATCCATAAGCTGTACTTTGGAAATTTATATTCATTACATAAAAGTGTAGCTGAAAAAAAAAAGAAGCTTAAATTAGAAAGATACCATGAATGAAGCTGTATCACTAAGCATGACTATAAGAAGAAACCTCAGCTTGTATTTTCAGCACATATTTTTGGCCAATTAAGAGAAGAATTACAGAATTATCTTATAAATTAAGGAATTAGAGATCCAGTGTGGATGGGTAGAATTTTTACTCTTCTTGTATCTTCCTTTCTCTGATAACAACAGAACTAGAATATTGGATTGTGAAATCAATCTCACATGAATTAAAGACATTACTCTGCATTGATCCTCATTAATAATTTCAGATGTACACATAAACCCTAAATGTCAGGTAAACAAGAAGTACAGAACCACCAAAACAGTTATTCAATTTCCTTCCTACTGCATCAAGGTAGGGAGTAACCGTAAGTAACTCCATTGCATACACAAGAGGAAGCTGTTTCAATCATGAACATCTCCAGTTTATACTGTATAGGTACTCGGTTATATACACACATACCACATAAATTTATGGTTTCCAGGTTTATTTAGCATGTATATCTTACCCAAAGTATTCCATGGATAAGGAATGTCCCATTTGCAAATGCCAATAATTTTTTCCCAGTAGCATGTTTAAAAGATTTGCTTTCCTTCTTTCCTTCATGTGATAAACTCCTTTATTTACACACAATTTATCTCCCCAAATGGATACAGTCAGTCCCATACCAGAATTTACTAGTAACCAAATATTTCCCTGTAATTAATTCCTGCTTGTTTTTCAAGATTAGCTATGTACTATCTTTTCCACATTGCCCATTATGTATCTACAATGCTGCTGTATGAAATACTATTTTGTCATTTGAGTTGACTGTATTTACGTATGACAAAGTTTCTTTACTTGACCAAACTCTAGTCAGGCTCCAGAACCTTCTCCAAGATCAATCTGTTAGCTTCCTTGTAAAATCCAGTTTTGCTAATAACACCACCACCAAGAGGGTTTAGCAAGAACCTGATTGCCCTTGACATTCCCGAGGTGAGAGTTCAACAATATAGTCAAATAGGAGCTAATAGCAAAGGAGTAGGTAGAGGGGATCATATAGTTAAAAAATCACTAAAAGGGTAAGATTAAATCCTGTGACAAAGTTGACTAACAGGATACTTACTGAAGATAGGCTAGGGTGATCAGCCCATCACCTGCATTAGGGAGGATGGTATAGTGGAGGAATCTCATCAGATAATGAGGATTATCCAATATTGAGTGAGCATGGTCCTATAAAATTGAATCAGTAAAATTATTGATAAAATTGGACTTAAAAAGAAAGTATACTGATGGGCCTAGAAGGTTCAGGAACTTGATTAAAGTTTGGTCGAAGAATATTTGTCAGATATTATCATAGTATAATCGCTGATTTTCCATCTCTGTTAAATATTTCAAGGTAATTGTTATTTTATTAACTATAAACCTGCCATAATTTTTGGTAAATACTAGGTACTCAATAAGTGTTATTAAATTTACGCATGAATGGGCCTCTTTGTTTCTATCAGTGTCTTCAGTGTAGCTAATACTTTGACAGTGATGAAATAATAAAACATTGTTCAGAATTATCACCTTCTAAAGAATAGTACCAAACAACTTTGAATACAAATAACAGTTTTGAGATCTTTGCCTTCTTACAGAATTGATAAATTGTTAAATGCCTTTCTACTAAAAGACAGTATTTACAAGGAATATATTTTCATCATATTGCTTCTCAAACTGTGGCATATTAGAAGTTATTTCAGAATTTAATATATGCTAGTTTTGAGTTCTGCTCATTATAGTTTATAATCTATGCTTACTTTGCCTATATATGCAATCTAAAAATGAGTTGACATCATGCTTTTAATTATAGTAAATTAAGTTGTTTCACAATTTCTACAGTATGATGCCTGTAATATTAATCAGACCAAATCATCACATTACATAAAGTTAATCATTAAGATGATGATCATTATTGCATGCTATCACACCCTATTTTTATTTCACTCAGCATCAACTATGTATCTTTCCTGGATATGGAGGTAAAAATCAAAGCTAAGAAGGTTTCAACAACTTTTTTATGTGAGAAGAAAGTGACAATCTGATTTATTGAAACTTGGAAATGGAAACTTATACTTAATAGATTACTCCCTTGAGTAATTACTGGTGGAGATAAACCCAAGAGAGGTTTGAATGTTTGCTTGATGTTCCAGTTGTCTCTTGTAAGAGCAGACTCCATTAAACAGATAAATATATACAAGTATGTGTGCCATGAATACAAGAATCCGTACACCATGATCACATACTTGCTCTTTATTAATGACTATTGACAAACACTAGGTCTTAAAAGACACTAACAGCAACATCTATGACTTAGCACAGAAGCCTGGTTCTTAGTGAAATATAAAGATCCAAGACATGTAGTTAGACATCTGGTCCTCATTTTCTGATGGCGGTGTAACTGCAACTGAGGAGGAACACCATTTGCTTTTATACTTCAGCCTCAGGTAGTAAGTCAGGTAGTACTTCTGCATGTCTCATTTGACTTGCGTTGGATGGATGTTTAGTGGCATTTACTCACCATCGTACTTTTGGTTGTTAATTTGAATTTTCCCCAGGTTTCACAATAAATTGCCATCATCCTGATTTAAAAAAAAAAAAAAACTTATTCAGGAACTACTGTGTGCCCATCATTTTGATAGACACAGCCCTATCTTGATTCCCCATCCTGTGGCATGTTGACAGGTGTATGTTCTGGTTTATTGGGTAGCAGTCTGGATGGTCATTTGCTTGTAATGATCAGTTGTTGACTATTTTAATATTACTAGTGGAAACTGGGAATGCAAAGTTAAATAGGACATTTTTTCTATACTCCAAGTGTTCTGTGAAGGTACTTAAAAAACTTCATGGAAAATGAAATTAACAGTAACTTTGTTTTGATACAAAAATTTTAAAATCCATGTATAGTTTCTTCATATAATTTTATGACCTTTATGAAGGTACCTCATATACTTATTTACATTCTATGCTAGTTTTCCACTTTCATATCTTGAAGCAATATGTTTTGTGTCTCTGTTATCCGTTTTGTGAAGCAGTACTTCTTTTGTTCTACACTTACCCTTTCTGTGGGTTTAAGGAGTCTCCATTAACTCAATTACTGTATTGGGTGGATAAGTTGCTCATGTGGTTCTTGTACTTCATGATTTATAGTACCTATAAACCCATTCAGACTGAGAAGCTTGAATTTCCTCTTCCCCCTGAGGGTAGACTTT